TGATAATAAAAAGTCAACATTTGAAAAATATGTATAATGTAGTAAACTATTTCCTATATGAGTTAACACATGATGGCACAAAATCACATATGGGTAAAATACCCAAAGTGCAAGAAAAATCAATGGATTTTAATGTAACAGAACAGGAAAAGTTCACTGATAGAACTTCATACTCCACAGTGCAACTAAATCTTTAAGAAACTACCATTAGTTGAATTTTGGCAAAGTATCAAAGAGCCAAAATTACATGAAAATACTTTTCTTTTCCAACCATGTATCTCATTGAAGCTTAATTTTCTATATACATTTCATCTAAATAACTTATGGCAAAAAATTGAATGCAGAAGCATGTATGAGACTCCAGCTGTCACCAATTAAGCTAGAAAAAACAATTTATAAAAATCTTTTTGTAGGGTGCCTGGGTGGCTCAGATGGTTAAGCGTCTGCCTTCGGCTCAGGTCATGATCCCAGGGTCCTGGGATCAAGTCCCACATTGGGCTCCCTGCTCCTTGGGAGCCTGCTTCTCTCTCTCCCTGTCTCTCATGAATAAATAAATAACATCTTTAAAAAAAAAATCTTTTTGTAAAACTTGTCACTCATCTGATAAGGAAAAAAATACTTAATGACACCTGTTAAAGATGGTAAGGCAGACTTTTTTCAGCCATCGAGATAGGTACAGGGACCACTGCAACAAGACTTTACAGTGGGGGAGAGAATGGGCTCAAGTTCAAATACAGCATGGTAAGTGGGAACTTATGAGCCAAGGAGCAGGATAGGGGTCAGTGTATGGAAAATTACTAAGACGAAACAAGAGGGGTTAGGGATTCTGGCTGAACTGACCAAACAATCTTTGCTGAAGAAAGGCCAGAGTGATTAGAAAGCACCTGAAGGATGGTGAAGGATAAGGGAACTCTTGCTAAACTGACTTAGCAGGGCTCTTGCTAAAACTGGGTTTTATAAAGGAAGTGCACAGATGGACCCAGGAAAAGGTTCAGGAGACTTACTAAAGTTTGGTCAAGAAGAGACTCTCACTTCTCACATTTTTTGTTTTCATTTTGGAAAATAGTTATTTTTTAAGTATGTACATTATGAAATGAATTATAAATATTTGAAACATCTGTCTTAACTTCTAATATGCCAAATACTCAATAGATACAATGCCCGTAATAGAGCATTTTGGATACTCAGTTTTTTTTTTTTTAAGATTTTATTTTTATTTATTTGACAAAGAGAGACAGTGAGAGCAGGAACACAAGCAGGGGGAGTGGGAGAGGGAGAAGCAGGCTTCCCGCTGAGCAGGGAGCCCAATGTGGGACTCAATCCCAGGACCCCGGGATCATGACCTGAGCCGAAGGCAGACACTTAATGACTGAGCCAGTTTTAAGGAGTATACAGGAGTCCTGAGGTCAAAAAGTTTGAAAACTGGTGTGGACCCACCACCATTTTATTATTTTCACAGATCATGAGTCAGGAATGTGGACAAGACACAAAGGGAACAAATGGATTGTCTCTGCTCTACAAAGACCAGGACCTTACCTGGGAAAACACACACAGCTCAAAATGACTCCAAAGACAAGGGCCTGGAGTCATCTGGAGACTCGCACATGCATCTGGTTGCCTTCCCTGAAATAGCTAGAGGGCTATTCCTCTAGCTATTGATGGAGTTTTATAGACCTAAAATGGAGTTTTATGGACCTATTTCATCTTGCTCCACTGTTGAGAGGAGCATCTCCATGTAGCCCCTCCATGTCACAGCACAACTGCTGGTTTCCAAGGAAGCATACCAACTGGGAGTATCCCAACAGAGGAAGATGCCAAGACAAACAGGAGGGAATTTCACGGTCTCTTATGGCCTAGATTGGGAAATCACATGGCATCATTTATATTGTACTCCTCTAGGGAAAGGTCAAAAGTATGCCCAGATTCAAGGGGAGGGAACAGTGTCAAAGAATTTTGGGGCCAACTTTTAAAATGATCAGTCTGCCACAAATTATTTATATACCTTCCACATACACAAACAGTCACTGCCTATTAAAACCATGCCAAAATCTTGTGCCCATAGGATCAGACTCAAGCTCTATGTCCAGAATCTTGACATCTAAATCAGGTCCAATCTGGAAAAGACTGCTTGGGTTTGGTTTGAGTATGTTACTCTTGAAGATTTGTGAAGTAAAGAGCCAAGTTATTTACTCCCCCCCCACACACCATATATATATATACAATTGTGAGAGGAGGAAAGGATAATCAGAATAGACATTCATATTAAGAAAGGGGTGGGACGTGCCTGGCTGGCTCAGTCACAAGAGCATGTGACTCTTTTCATCTCAGGGTTGTGAGTTCAAACCCCACATTGGGTGTAGAGATTACTAAAAAAAAAAAAAAAAAACCTTAAAAAAATAAAATGCTGGCTGCTTATCATCAAAAAAGGAAGGAAGGAGCGGGAGGAATGGGAGGCCTACTACAGCCAATGATCCATAGCAATTCTGAAAGACAGGAACATCTTGTCTACTCCTTTCCTAAGGAGCAGTACTGCATCACAGGAATGAGTCTCTGTGGAGTTCTGCTACTTGAATCATACTTGCTTTCCCACAGGACCATATTTTTAATGGAGTTTTATAGACCTATTTCATCTTGCTCCCTGCCCAAAGTTTTTGGATTCAAAGGTCTCTATTCACTTTGACTTTAAAAACAAAACAAAAAAAAAGTTTTAGGTTCACAATGAAACTGAGCAAGGTACAGAGATTTCCCATATACTCCTGCCCCCACAATGGATAACCTCCACCATTACTAACATTTCACACCAGAGTGGTAAATTTGTTACAGCTGATGAACCAACATTGACATATCATCACCCATAGTTCCTTAGGGTTCACTTTTTGTGTTGTGCATTCTAAGGTCTGGACAAATACAGAATGATATATTCATCATTATAGCATCATACAAGGTATTTCACTGCCTTCAAAATCCCTTGTGCTTTGCCTATTCATACCCCAAGCTGCCCCTCCCCCAACCCAACAACCGCTGATCTCCATTGTTTTGCCTTTTCCATAATGTCATAAGAATTGGAATCATACAGTATGTAACACTTCGAGATTGACTTCATTTAGTAATATGCATTTAAGGTGCTTCCAGGTCTTTTTAAGGCCTGATAGTTCATTCCTTTTAAGTGCTGGATATTCCATTGTCTGGATGCACCAGTTTATTTATTCGTATACCTACTGAAGGCATTCATTCACGTATTGAAGTTTTGGCAATTCGGAGTAAAACTGCTATAAACATTCATGTGCAAACAAACAAAACAACTCTGAAACACCATGCACATGTTGGTTTTTGAATGAACATAAGTTTTCAACTTCTTTGGGTAAATACCAAGGACCCTGGATACTGGATCATTTGGTAAGAGTACATTTAGTTTTACCACCAAACTATTCCAAGGCAGCTGTACAATTTTATTTTCCCACCAGCAAAGAAGCATTCGGTGCCGTTAGTGTTCCAGATTTTGGCCATTCTCATAGATGTGTAGTGGTATCTCATTTTAATTTGTATTTTTCTGATGACATGATGTAGAGCATCTTTTCATAAATGCTTATTTGCCATCTGTACATCTTCTGTGAAGTGCCTCTTAAGGTCTTTGGCCCATTTTTGATAGGCTATTACTTACTGTTGAGTTTTAGGAGTTCCTTGCATATTTTGGATAATGGTCCTTTATCCAAATGTGTCTTATGCAAATATTTTCTCCCAACTTGTGTCTTCTCACTCGCTTGACAAGGTCTTTCACAGAGCCTAAGTTTTTAATTTTAATGAAGTCCAATATATCAATTATTTCTTTTATGGAACAAGACTTCAGTTTTATATTTAAACCTTTGCTACATCCAAGGACATTTAGGTTTTCTCCTATGTTACCTTCTAGGAGTTTATAGTTGTGTATTTTCCACTTAGGTTTACAATGCATTTTGAGTTAATTTTTGTGAAGAGTGTTCAGTGTCTAGATTCCTTCTTTTGCATGTGGATGTCTAATGGTTCCAGCATTGTTTGTTGGAAAGAATTTTCTTCACTCCCACTGCCTTTGCTCCTTTGTCAAAAATCAGCTACCTGAGTGGGCCTATTTCTCGGCAACCTGTTCTGTTCCATCCATCCGTCTACTCTCTTACCACCACCAGCTGTCTTAATGCAGCTTTATCTTAAGTCTTGAAGCCAGGTCGTTTCAGTCCTCCAACACCGTTCTTCTCCTTCAATACTGTGTTGTCTATTCTGGGTCTTTTGCATCTCCATATAAACATTAGAATCAGTCTGTCAATATCCACAAAATAAGTTGCTGGAATTTTGATTGGATTGAATCTATTAGTCAAGTTGGGAAGAACTAACATCTTGACAATACAGATTCTATCCATGAACATTAAGTCTCTCTCCATTTATTTAGTGCTTTGATTTCATTCATCAGTTTTGTAATTTTCCCCATATAGACTTTGCACGTATTTTGTTGTGCTAATATAAATAGTATTGTGTTTGCAGTTTCAATTCTATTTGTTCATTGCTAGTGTACAGGAAAAGAATGATTTCATGGATGTGTGTATGCATCAAAACGTAGGTCATACACTTAAAATATGTATAGTTTATTGCATGGCAATTATACCTCAAAAAAATCTGTTCATTAAGAAAACCAAACTCATAATAACAAACCAAAGACTCTAATAAGAAAAAAAGATATTTGAACATTCATTTCACCAAAGACAAATGGATGACAAGTATGTGAAAAGATGTTCAACATCATTGGTATTTAAAACTACTGGTCTACTTTGAGAAAAGACACAGAGACAACACATTTAAATAAAAACGGTTTTCTTTTACAGTATCAACTTTTTTGTATGCAGGAAGTGAAGATTTGTACTCTAAAACTTTCCCAAATTTTTTACACTTTTAGGCTTTATTCAAAAATCTTTTGTAACAAAACAAAACAAAAAACCTTTTGTAACAAAGGTTTTTTATTTAAAAAACCCTTTTAGAACTTCACAATTTTTAAAAAAAATATGTAAGATATTTACTGAAAGCACTGTTTTTACATTCACACAGAATTTCTCCAATGTGATTTATTACATGTAACATAAATTAACATAGTCTTTTCCATCTTCCCTAGATTTATAATTTACAGTTCCTCTCCAGTGTGAATTATGTTTCCTAATAACAAAGAATAATCAAAGGCTTTCCTATATCCCTTTCACTCATGGGATCTCTCCTAATGTGTGCTCTCATGTTTTCCCAAAGTGGGGGATAAGAATTAAAAAAAAATCCTACACTTTTTACATTTATAAGATTTTTCATACCTGTGAAATCAGAGCTGAGTAGTAAAGTATAAGGCAGAGCTAAAGGCTTCCTACATTCCTCATTAATAAGGTTACCTTCACTATGAATTAGTATGTGTTTTCTAAGAGAAAGTATTAAAGGCTTTCCCATATCCTTTGCAAGGATAAGCTTCTCTCAAGAGTGAAATCTGATATTCTTTAAGGTATGAAGTAGTAGTAAAGGTTTTCCCACATTCCTCATCTATATATGGCTTTTCCCCACTGTGAGTTCTTAAATGTTGAATAAAGTATGTGGGCTGAGGGACACCTGGGTGGCTCAGTCAGCTAAGTGTCTGCCTTCAGCTCAGGTCATGATCCCAGGGTTCTAGGATCGAGTCCTGCATCCGGCTCCTTGCTCATCAGGGAGCCTGCTTCTCCCTCTGCCTGCTACTCCCCCTGCTTGTGCTCTAACAAATAATAAATAAAATCTTAAAAAAAAAAAAAAAGGTATGTGGACCGGGTAATGGCTTTCCCACAGCCCTTACATTCAAAAGGTCATCCACCAGTGTGAGTTCTCATGTGTACTGTAAGGCCTGATGAAACAGTGAAGGCTCTCCCACCCTTTTTACATTTACATGGCTTCTCTCCAGTATGTGTTATGTTGACTAAAGTGCAAAGAATACCTAAATGACTTCCCATACTCCTTATATTCAAAAGTTCTTTCTATACTGTGAATTCTTAAAGGCTTTCCCACACTGCTTACAATTATGGGGTTTTACTCAAGGGAGTTTGCATGTGACTTTTAAAGCAAGATGAGTTACTAAAGGCTTTCCCATATTCCTTACATTCATAAGGCTTCTCTCCAGTGTGAGTTCATGTTTTATAAGACCTGAAGAACTGGTGAAGGTTTTCTCACATTTACTACACTCATATGGTTTTTCTCCAGTGTGAACTCACATGTGAATATTAAGTTCTGGGAAACAAGTAAACTCTTTACTACACTCCTTGCAAACACAGTGTGTCTCTCTCATAGGAAATCGTATACATTTAGCAAGATTTGGGGAACAAGGAAAGGCTTTCTCAAATTTCTTACATTCCATAGGCACCAGTTCACTTTGAGCTCTTAAATGATGAATAAGACAAGAAGATCAAATAAAGGTTTTCCCACATTCTTTAGATTTGTAGGACTTTTTTCTCTTGTTCATTTGCATATACTCAAAAAGGCCTGTAGAATGAGAAAAAGCTTTCCTACATTCCTTAAAGGTATGTGGCCTTTCTCCACTCTGAATTCTTACACATTCTCTAAGGTGTAAGGAAGAAGGAATGCCTTTCCCACAGTCCGTGCATTTATAGGGTTTCTTTCGAGTATAAGTTTTCTCATGAACAGATGTGGATTTTGGCTAAAAACTGTTTCACACTGATTACACTTAGGAGGCTTTTCTCCATCATGGGTTTTGTTGTATAGATTAAGGGCAGAGTTCTTTGTGAAGGCTTTTACACACTGGTTGCACTCACAAGTTTTCTTTCTAATGTGAGTAATCTGTAAATCTTAAAGGAGTGTTCACTCAAGGCTTCTTCCCAATGGTTAAAATTAAACAATTCCTCTCCAGTATGGCTTCTCTCCTGTTGATGAAGAGATGATGATGACTTACAAAAGTTTTTCAGCTTTACTACATTCAGAGATCCTCCCCTCTGCCTTGAATTCTGTTCTACTACACAGGAAACAAATCAGTATGACTGAAGTTTTTTGTTTTTTCTTCCATTTTCACTGCATGCAATGCATGGTTCCAGACCTGAGTGCTTTCAAGCAGAATGAAGTGACCATTCTGCTAAAAAGTTCTGTTGTAGTCTTCTTTACTTTCACAGGGACTTTTACAGAGTTTAGTTGATAACTGATTGAGATGAAATTACTTATCCAAAACTGTATCTAAATTATGTATATGGAAATACTGAGTGAACACTGTGTGAATTTATCTTGGGGAGTATTTAAAGGGTTTGTCAAATTCATAATGCTCAGAGACTCTGTGAGAAACAGTTTCGTTTGGTATGAATAACACTAGCCCCAAATGTCTGTTATGGTTATCATGTTGCTTTTCTATCTTAGGAATTTCCCATCTTCCACTGGTGTGGAAGGCAAGGAATTACACACTGAGAATCTTACCATTTCTACCACATTTGGTGTTTTCCCCTGCAAAATATTCTGCTGAGGTGCTGACCATTTGGTATTAAGACAAATCTCCCAATCTGAAATAAGATTAAAAAACACATTAAGGTCTTGGAGAAATAAATGATGGAAGGAAAGTGTTAAAAATAAAGGCTGATGTCTACTTACTTTCAAAGACTGACTTAAAATATAAAAAGAAATGAATACACAGAGATTGAGAAATCTGACTATATTAAGAGTTTGGCAATGATAAGGTGCTGGTCAAGTTGGTAGGTGATTTCCTAAGAAATGATTCTATAAATGTTGAGGCTGATGGTGAACAGAAAGCAGCATAACCAGGAAAGCAAAGATGAAAGAAAAGGAATAAAGAGCTAAATGCAAAATTTAAAGAAGAAATAGATCTTACTGTCAGGCCAAAGGAAGTTTCAGAAAAGTGGATGAAAGTTAAAGAGAAGTCTAAAGTACCCAAGGAACCACAGAAACCAAAGGCACCAGCATTCTCAGGAAAAATCCATCTTCAAAAGCTTCCTATTTAACATTTCCAAACAGACTGCAGTTCTCATAGATAACTGCTGTTTTTCATAAAGAAATCACCTTTCCTTTTCCCTTACTTTGCAAACCCTTCCCACTATCCCCCACTCTCCTCCACCTGAAAGATCAGACCTGGTCTGCACAGCTGGTACCTGGCTCTCAGAGAAAGAAGCTTGATACAAGAACACGTAAGGGATGACAAATAATTCCATAAATCAGGACCAAGATTCTGCTCTCCAGGGACACCAAATACTGTCAGGTATAACTTGAGAAACAATAAAATGTTCGTGACAACTTTATCAAACCAATAAACTTTGTTTTTCAGACCAATAAACTTTCAAATGAAACTAAAATGCAAACACATACTCTCTCATTGTTCACCAAAAGGGGTGCTGATCTTTCCCCTGAAACCCCGGCTCAAACTTGTATTTTGAAACATTTTTGAGGTCCTAAGCTTTTCAATCCATAGAGAAAATAAAACCAGAACAACAAACAGATCTTCATTTTCAAGAGGAAGCCACTTCAAGATAAGATCTACAAGAACAGAAACAATGCTTGCTCTTTTTGCCATTGCATTGCCCTTAGTCAGCACAGAGTCTAGAATACAGTCATTTAAGAAAGACTTGTTCCAGAAAAAGCTAAATGAAGACATGGCACCAACCTTACCTATTGCAGCCAGACTCTTGTAGTTCCCAGCATCACATCTCTGCACAGCCTTCTCTGAGTTTGATCCAGCAAAATCCACTCCTCCTGGGTGAATTCCACAGCTACATCCTCAAAGGTCACTGGGTCCTAAACCATCACAAACATCCCAGCATCAGGCAATTGCCATCTAAACCTGTGTTCACTGGAGAGAGAGAATGGGAGACCCAAAGCTTAGACAGTGTTCCATGTTCTCCCATCATCTCTCCCAGGGCCTGATGGTCCTCATGTCCATTCTCCTCTCTATCTGGACATACTCACTGGTGACCTCATCCAGTCATATAGCTTTAAGAGCACCTCTTTTACCCAACTGAATGTATCTCACCACAGCTACACTGTACACTTTTCTAGTCTTATTCTTCTCTATTGACAGGACTTACCATAGTCTGAGCACATTACAGACACAATAAATGCTGGCGAATAAGTGAATCATTCCTCCAGCGATAGCACAAATTCTGAGAAACACATGTCCACTCCCTCACAGTGTATCATAGCACACTAAGAGCACACAAACAGCACATATAAGAGTGGACTGAATTAGCAAATACTGGGATAACAGTTATCATTTCCCTATGTCATCTGTCAACCACATAAAAAATCCTGAAACCTGAGGAAATTTATCTGGGTACTCAGTCCCTAGGCAGGCCCTATATACATAAAGAAGCTCTGTTCCACTAGAAAACATGTCTACCTGTTAGGAAGAAGCATGTACTTTTATAAAAGAATAAATTTCCTACTTACCTGAGAATAATTTGTCAGACACCTGGTCACTAGCCTTTCCTCTTCTGACTTCTCCTCACAAAGACAGAAAAAAAAAGTGACCTTGGGGAGAAGAAATAAAACCTGAGAACCCAAACTGCTCAAAATTCCCACTCAGGCTAGAAGCTACTCCACACTAATTCTAAATTGACACATCTGCTGTTGCCATAAAATACCCAAGCAGACTACTTCATCCTCATCTGAAATCAGAAGGGTTTTGAGCTTTGGGAGGAAAAATTCCACTTTACAGAAAAAGAAATTTAAAGTCCAGAGAGGGAAAGTTGTTGTTTTCTTTGGCCAACAATAATGAACCTCATCATGTGATTAAGCAGACTCTCTCCCACAAAAATACCCATCCTCACCCCTCCTTCCCAAATCCCAGGATGTAGACATAAGAATGTTCTTTTTTTTTTTCTTAAAGATTTTATTTATTTATTCATGAGAGACAGAGGGAGAGAGAGAGAGAGAGAAGCAGAGGGAGAAGCAGGCTCCCAAGGAGCAGGGAGCCTGATGCGGGACTCGATCCCAGGACCCTGGGATCATGACCTGAGCCGAAGGCAGATGCTTAACCATCTGAGCCCCCCAGGCGCCCGACATAAGAATGTTCTTATCTACTTAAGCCCCCTCCTAGACAGTACAGAAACAGGTCTGCTTAGACACTAACCACAAGACAGGCTGTTCACACGCCAGGTAAAACAGTCTCTGACAGGAGCATCAACAAGGACTTACCACAAGAGAAAAGATCAATGGCTGGCATCCTGTGGGTACGACAGTAAAACCTTCCTCGTTCCCAAAGTCCTTCAAGACAATGTCTGAATCTAGTGGACATAGATCAATCTCAATTCCTCTTGATTAAGTAGCAGTGGAGGCTTGCCACAAACCGTCAGTCTTTAAGCAACAGGTAGTACTCAGCTGTCATGAAGCATCATTCATTAGTCAGCTCTCTGTAGAAGATGAAGTTACATTACATGAAAGCCATTAAAAATTGTAGAGTATACCACATGAATATAAATAACAACCATCATTTACTGAGTACCTATTATGTGCCAGAAGCAGTGGTAGCTCATATGATTATCAACATGGTTATTATTACTGTCATTCCACAGCTGAGGCGATCTGCATTGAGACAGAAGCAGTCACTGGCCCAAAATCACCAATTAGGAAGAGCCCAGAGTCTGAATACAGGTTACTCTAGCTCAAAGCCTGAACTAAGGTTATTGTTATTTGCCAACATACCTGGACAACGATTATAAAATGGTGTGCAAGAAATAATTAATTCAGCAGGTCTGGGTTGCTCAAATCCTGCACTTTCCTGAGAAAAGCCCGTCTTCAGATATACTCTTGGTGGGGCTTGTGGGAGACCACCTGAATCCATGGAATACCCTGCCTGGTAATGTCTGAAGCCTTGGGCCACACAGTTACCAGTTGGACCAGATAGTTTATGCTAACAATGTGATTTATGGTGAACATCTGTTTTTATATGCCTGAGTCTTTGGGCAATGTTCTAACAGTTTGAACTCAGGCTGGAGCCTAAGCGGCTGAAGTCAGTCATGCAGGTGGTGCATGTCTATGGGACTGACCCACAATGAAAACCTGGACACCAAAGCTCAGGGACTACAGACCAAATGTTTGTACCTCCCTGCCTCTTCATACATTCTCACCTAATCCCCAGTGTGATGGTTTCTGGAGATGGGGCCTTTGAGAGGTAATTATGGGATTAGTGCCTTTATAAGAGACCCCAGAGAGCTACCTTGCCCCTTCTGCCATGTGGTAACACAGTGAGAAGACTGCCTTCCATTAACCAGTAAGTAGGTCCTCACCTGACACCGTATCTGCTGGCATTTTGATCTTGATTTTCCCAGCCTCCAGAACTGGGAGAAATTTCTGTTGTTTATAAGCCACCCAATCTATAATATTTTTTTTAAACTTTTTTTTTTAAAGATTTTATTTATTTATTTGAGAGAGAGAGAGAATGAGAGATAGAAAGCACGAGAGAGAAGAGGGTCAGAGGGAGAAGCAGACTCCCTGCTGAGCAGGAAGCCCGATGCGGGACTCGATCCCGGGACTCCAGCATCATGACCTGAGCCGAAGGCAGTCGCTTAACCAACTGAGCCACCCAGGCGCCCCAATCTATAATATTTTTGTTATAGCAGTCCAATTGAATAATGTAATGTCCCGGGTGAGCTTCCTTGGTTGGCAATATTTCACATGCGATGTTACACATTATTACCAGGAATATTAAGTAATGCCCATTTGACTGCACTGGGAAAAGACACTTGGATGCTTGTGCCTGGTTTGTTCTGGAATTAATCCCATGTGTCTTATCCCTTTGCTGATTCTGATCTGTATTCTATAAACTATAATGGTGGGTTTACCAGCATGAGTCTTGTGAGTCCTACTGCATTGCTGAGCATGACGGTGGTCTCGAGGATCCCCAGCACAAACGGTTTATTTAATTCAGACATCTTTGAGCTCCTCCAGCTGGCAAAACCACATAGGCCTAGTTGCCTTCCTTCAAGTCCTTATATCAGCTTTTGCCCTCATTCACCACGCAAATTTTTACGAAGGTCCTTGCCTTTGCTACATAATACACTGGGCACTGAGGAGAGCACAGTGTAATTAACAGAAAATGCCCCATACCTTAGATTTTTCAAATTCCAAAGGGCTAAGCAGATACTAAACAATCTGTAATCTATTAGTTGGTGTTAAGTGCTAGAGAAAAAATAAGAACAGATAAGGAATATTATCCTCTGCCTTCCCCAACACACACATACACACACACACACACACATATACCCAAGGATTTTTCTTAGCAAACTCAGAACTAGCTCTGCAAATGATAAAGACAGAATACAAAAACAACCATTTCAGAATGCTCTTGAAAAACTGGCATCTGACTTGCCTAAAAAGTGATATTCAACTTTTGATCCAAAGCACTAGAACAATTCCATGGTAAACAAAATAAACTCAGAATACATTTCAAATACTGCTCTACTTCAATGGCTTATCAGTTTAGAAACACGTAAGAGACCTGACCAATCCCCTAAGTCTTACCAGAGGGTATAAAATGTTGAGTAGGTGGAGTGCTAAATCAGACTTTGCCCAAAGTTTATCTACTTTTTTTCTACAAAAAACTCTTAGTTCTTTTTTTCATTAAATCTGCCTTTAAAAAATTCCTTCCTTACTTATGCTTTTATCTTTTTAATTTATGCTTTATGTTCATTTTGTTGGTCTTTTCAAATACTTGGAAATTACAGTTAATTTTTCAAACATTTTATTAAATTACACAAACAAGTGTAGAATTACAAGTATACAGTACACTATCATGAAATTCTCCACCCTGAAGCACTCATATGCCTTAGATATTACTCCTTTCTCTTCTCCAAATAGAAGCACTATTCTGACTTCTAACACTGTAATTTTGCCTGTTTTTGAACTTCATATAAAATCATACGATATGCAGGGCACCTGGGTGGCTCAGTCGTTAGGCGTCTGCCTTCGGCTCAGGTCATGATCCCAGGATCCCATCGGGCTCCCTGCTTGGTGAGAAGCCTCTTCTCCCTCTCCCACTCCCCTTGCTTGTGTTCCCTCTCTCATTGTGTGTGTCTCTGTCAAATAAATAAATAAATAAATAAATAATATCTTAAAAAAAAATCATACGATATGCATTAATTTGTGTCTAGTGTCTTCCATTCAACATCCTACTCAACATGCTTCTCCCTCTGCCCCTCCTCCTTGCTTGTGTTCTCTCTCTCAAATAAATAAGTCTTAAAAAAAAAAAGTACAAAGTGAACTGGGAATTTATTTTAAAGACTAATAGGATTTAAAGACTAAAAGGATTCATGCTGAAGGGACACAGGATTCAAAAAGACTACCTTTGGGCAAATTTGGGACAGTTTGAGCATCAAACAATAGTGAAGGAAAGAAAAGTCCAAGAATATATTGTGATACTCCAAAAAAAATAGAGGACAGGGGAGGTGGAGAAAGAAAGCTGCATAGCTAAAGAATGGAGAAGGAATGGCAGGAAAAACACCATTTTGTAACACCCCCCCCCCATGTAAAAACAGACTGAGGCAAAGACTGACAAGTGATGTGAAACCCTTGGATGAAAGGCTGTTAGGAGGGGCGCCTGGCGGTTCAGCCGTTAAGCGCCTGTCTTCGGCTCAGGTTGTGACCCCAGGGTCCTGGGATCCAGCCCCGCATTGGGCTCCAGGCTCCCTGCTCCACGGGGAGCCTGCTTCTCCCTCTCCCACTCCCCCTGCTTGTGTTCCCTCTCTTGCTGTGTCTCTGTCAAATAAATAAAATCTTAAAAAAAAAAAAAAAAAGGCTGTTAGGAAACAGATTCCCCTGTTGCCAAGTATCACCCAAGGATTCCTCAAAAACATGACTATGAGAGAAGTGCACCTTGACTAAATGCTTCTCATTCCTAACAATGGGACAACTTGCACTTACCTGCTTCCTGATACAATACTAAGTATACAGAAATGTTCAAGTGTCTAAATTTGCAGTCTAACCAGGCAAGCACTGGCTGGTTCTTTGGGTACCGTGAACATGAAGTGTGGCCAGTGTGACTGAGGGACTAAATTCTTAATTTTATTTACTTTCAATTAATTAGAATTTAGAAATAAAATTGATTCAGTTACTAAAAAACTTTTCAGTATGTTTGAACAATCTGGGTTTGGAGATCCTTTTCTACAGCAAAACAGTAAGAGCTAAATACAGATCAAGAATTTCCAACGAAGGGCGCCTCGGTGGCTCAGATGGTTAAGCGTCTGCCTTCGGCTCAGGTCATGATCCCAGGGTCCTGGGATCGAGTCCCGCATCGGGCTCCCTGCTCCTTGGGAGCCTGCTTCTCCCTCTGCCTCTCTCTCTCTCTCTCTGTCTCTCATGAATAAATAAATAAAATCTTTAAAAAAAAAAAAAGAATTTCCAACGAAAACTCAGCATCCACACTGAGATCCAGTGTACACACTGGGTTCCAGCAACTTATCACAAAAGGAAAGAAATGTAAAATTTCTCATTAATAATTCTCTATTAACTACATTAGTAATTAAGTTCACTAATTTATACTGATAACGGGGTAAGTTGGATTAAATAAGACACACTAAAAATTTCACAGGTTAAAATTTTTATTTTTTAAGATTTTATTTATTTATTTGACAGAGAGAGAGAGATCACAAGTAGGCAGACAGGCAGGCAGAGGGAGAGGGACAATCAGGCTCCCGCTGAGCAGGGAGCGCGATGCGGGGCTCGATTCCAGGACCCTGGAATCATGACCTGAGCCGAAGGCAGACACTTAACGACTGAGCCACCCAGGCGCCCCTCAGGTTAAAATTTTTATTTGGTTACTAAAAATTATAAAAAATTACATCTGTACCTCACAATATGTATGTATAGTACTGCTCCAGACCCAAGTCTACTTTACAAGAAATAGACAAGTTTATTAAATGAAATACTAGGAAAGGACGCCTGGGTGGCTCAGTCCGTTAAGCCTCTGCCTTCCGCACAGGTCATGATCCCAGAGTCCTGGGATGGACTCCTACATCAGGCTCCTTGCTCAGCAGGGAGCCTGCTTCTCCCTCTGCCTGCCGCTCCCCCTGCTTGTGCGCTCTCTGACAAATAAAATGAAATCATAGGAAAACAACATCATATTGGAATGCCAACATTTTACAGTAAAATTCTCCTGGAACGGGTGCCTGGGTGGCTCAGTCGTTAAGCGTCTGCCTTCGGCTCAGGTCATGATCCCAGGGTCCTGGGATCGAGTCCCACATCGGGCTCCCTGCTCAGCGGGAAGCCTGCTTCTCCCCCTCCCACTCCCCCTGTGTTCCTGCTCTCACTGTCTCTCTCTGTCAAATAAATAAAATCTTTAAAAAAAAAAAAAAATTCTCCTGGAACGTTCAAGAACCAAAACTGTTTTTTTTAAATGCAGGCAAATATTTTAGGTAAAAGGGATCAGATAGCTAAAACAAAATGCAATATGCAAATCTTGTTCGGATCCTAGCTCCCCCAAAAATCCCGACAACTCTATAATAGATACTTTCGGAAAACTGGAGAAATTCTACTTTCTGGAGTTCTGTTTTTAGTAGAAGATTGTCCTGATGCATGCTTACCACTAAGGGGTGAAGTGAATGTCTGCAACTTACCATTAATTGGTTCATCCTAACAATACATATGACGAGACAAAATCCTAATTAGTGAACGTGGATGAAAGTTCCATGGATGCTCGTTTTACTGCCGCTGCATATCTTAAGGACCAATTTCCAGATCAATACCCGAAAGAAAAACCCACCCACTCCCGACATGTTACTTTAGGTCAATTCAATTCCAGCTAACGGCAACGGGCCAGCCTCGTCCTTCCCCCCAGAAACTCCTACACTGGAAGCTCCGGGCGTCGGCAGGGCTCTGCCGCGCTAGGTTTTGTACTTCGGCGAATTCATTCACTCCTGCATTTATCTGTCACACACACGTGCTCCCTAAGAACCTGCGAAGGTCCCTCTCTCCACCGGAGAACTTACCGAATTTCAATAACCGACACCCACAAGTGCACCGCGTGCCCGCCCGCAGGAAACACAACCGCCAGGCTGCCGGGGGCGGGGGTCGCTGGAGCCGGAATCACCGCGACCAGAAAAGGCCTGGCCGGCACGCCTCTCCCCGGGGCTACCGTCGCCGCCCCGGGTACCCAGCCGGCCCGGGCTCTGGGAAGAAGGGAACTTCAACCCTGCGCCTCCCCCTCGGGATCCTTCCTTCCCGCGTAGGCGCTCCAAGCCCGGCAGCTGAGACTGGAAGCCCTTCCCTCAAACGCGGGAGTGGCGCGCGGCCAAGATGGCCGTCGCCTTGCGCATGCGCTTTTCAGGTCTCCGCGAACAGCGCAAGGGGCGGGGCCTCTCCGGAAGGGGGCGCCGCACAGACGCCTGTTGTGCCTACCAACTGGCGGAGGAGGGATCCCGTTTTCGTCCCGCGGGAGGGAAGCTGGCCGTTGGGTCCGAAGCGGCTTATTTTCCTCCCCAGTCCGTGCTCTTACATGTCTTAACTGAATAAGTTTTGTTTTCAAATCTTGGTGCATACGTGAACGCATCATACTCTTCATTGCATAGCTTGTTGCACGTTCCCGGTGGAGATAATGAATACAGTCGCTGCATCGCTGCACTCGAGCTTTTCCTGTGGCCGCATAAAGTCACCGTTCATGATTCAGTTTTTTCAATATAGTTCAGCCTCCTGTCTGTGATTCCCCTTAACCTGGGAAGGGAGCTGCAAACTGCACCTGAGGCGAGAGGGAGAAAACGCTACAACAGCACCTCAGTCCACTACGCTGGAGGTGAAGAGGTGACCCTAAGTTTAAATGAGACGGTTATATAAGCGGTGCCTGGATGACTCCGTGGTTAAGCGTCGGCCTTGGGCTCAGATCATGATCTCAGGGTCTTGGGATCCAGCCACGCGTAGGGCTCCCTGCTTCGCGGGAAGCCTGCTTCTCCCTCTCCCACTCCCCCTGCTTGTGTTCCCTCTCTCGCTGTGTCTCTCTGTCAAATAAATAAAAATCTTAAAAAAAAAAAAAAAGATGGTTTGTCTAGATGGGCGGCTGAGGCTACTGTCTTCTTTACTGGGTTAGGAGAGCAGCTGTTATGCCTAATGGGCCTCTGATTTCCATTATGATTTTGAGTTAAAAGTCTAAGAGCTTGGCCATCCCTTTCAAGTACTAAGAAAAAAAAAACCGCTTATTATAATTTGGAAGACCCAGAGTGGGAAATTTCTCCATATTAGCCATGGCAGAGCTTCAGGGATGTCATTAGTCATGTCATAGAAGGAGGCAGATAATTACATTAAGTTGGAAATGGACAGTCTACAATAAGTCTTAGGAATTCTCTAAATGGTCTTTTGGTGAAAGGGCAGGGAATTCTGAATTGCTGTAATTCTTGGCTTGAGGGATTTGTTTCCCAAGGATATGTCAAGGACTAAGTAGTGAACCTGCTGTTCTGATAGAATTGTAATTTATTCTCAGAAACTCTGAGAAACCTTACTAAATGCAGTCAGGAGGCCAGAGGGGAAACTCTTACAGGGTACCACTCCTTAATCACTATAAGAATTATCAGTTATACACTCCCCAACAGGAGAATCCTCAACGGGAAATTACATCCCCCAACAGAAGATGTACATTGCATCTCCTATAAGAAATAGACTTCCCCAGGGGCACCTGGGTGGCTCAGTTGGTTAAGTGACTGCCTTCGGCTCAGGTCATGATCCTGGAGTGCCAGGATTGAGTCCCACATCGGGCTCCCTGCTCAGCGGGAAGTCTGCTTCTCCCTCTGACCCCTCCCCCCATGCTCTCTCTCTCTCTCTCTCATTCTCTCTCTCAAATAAATAAATAAAATCTTTAAAAAAATTTTAAAAAAGAAAGAAATAGACTTCCCCAGCAACTCAGTCAATGAGAAACTATCATCACCCTGAACTCTTCCTTTTCGCCAATGGACTCTTGTTCAAAACAACCCCTCCCAACTTTCTCCTTCTCCAAAAAACAATGTTTCTCTCCTTTGTTTGTTGGATTAGTGTATGGTTTTTGCTGTAGGTTGTTTGTCCCAAATTGCAGTTCTCTGCTATTCCCAAATAAACCTTTGTACACTTTCCCTAGCTCCTTCCTTTGCTCCTCCTGGGAGATGGGAAAGTGTGTGTAGCTGACACACTGCTCAGAGAAAAATGCATTCAATGAGATAAGATAATGAAGGACAACAAATGTTTTTAAAAACTGCAGTAAAGGGGCGCCTGGGTGGCTCAGTCGGTTAAGCTTCTGCCTTTGGCTCAGGTCATGATCCCAGGGTCCTGGGATCAAGCCTTGAGCCCCCGGGCTCCCTGCTTGGCGGGGAAGCCTGCTTCTCCCTCTCCCACTCCCCCCACCACCCCGCTTGTGTTCCCTCTCTCGCTGTCTCTCTCTCTGTCAAATAAATAAATAAAATCTTAAAAAAAAAATAAAAACTGCCGTAAAATTTAAACTTACCACTTCACTCATCTTTAAATGTACAACTCAGCGGCATTCAGTACATTTACAAAGTTGTCCAACTATCCCCACTGTCCATTTCCAAAACCTTTTTATCATCCAAAACAGAAACTCTGTAGGGAAACAAATATTTTTATGAGACTGGCCAATGTTTTGGTCTCCAAGATCTCTGGAGATGGGAAAGTGTGAGTTTAATTGCAGTAAGACGAGAATGCTGAATTTGTAATGACACAGTAAAATTCTAAAAAAGTCTCAATCCATAAACTTCCTCTCCATGCCCCAAGGTAACCTCTGAAATGGATGTTCACATTTAGACACTTGAACCTCTAGGGAGAAGCAGCCTCCCTTGATATTGAACGTGAATTAACAGAACAAAATTAACTTTCTGGGCACTAATATGATTCCCTTTGGCCTCATCCTATTATTATTGGCCTATTTTGTATATTTCCCACATATGATGACAGTGTTCTAAACACTTTAGCACGAGTGGTAATGAACAATTGTGTTACCTTGGACTTCCTGCTGGCAGCTGAAGCAGGATATGTTCAGCTGCCAACACCTCTGGCTGCACCCAGTTTAATGATTTAATTGGCTTGGCTCTGCATGGGGAGCCTGGCTGAAGTATATCCTCCAGGTATCCCTCATCACCCTACTGGGAGTCATGGTCCTGGTCAGTTTTGTCTGAAGTTCCCTAAAAGAACAGAATCAGGGGCACCCGGGTAGCTCAATCACTTAAGCGTCTGACTCTTGGTTTTGGCTCAGGTCATGATCTCACCATCCTGGGATCGAGCCCCACATCAGGCTCTACACTCAGCACAGAGTCCGCTTCAGGTTCTCTCTCCCTCTCCCTCCTGCTCACTCTTGCTCTCTCTCTCTCAAATAAATAAATAAATACAATCTTAAAAAAAAGGAAAGAACAGAATCAATTCTGGTATAAGCCCCCATGGGTACAATTAATTACAGTATCTGTGTTAGCCTCCTATTGCAGCTATAACAAGTTACCAGAAACTTAGTAGCTTAAAACAAAACAAATTTATTATCTCATAGTTGTGAAGGTCAGGCATTTGAAATGGGTCTCATTGGGCCAAATTCAGTGTGTCCAGAGGGCTGTGTTTCTTCTGGAGACTCTAGGGGAGAATTCGTTTCCTTAACTTTTCAGCTTCTAGAGGCTGTCTCCATTCCTTGGCTCATAACCATAAATCACTCTGATCACCGCTTCCATTTTCACACTTCTTCCTCTCTGACCCTACTGCCTCCCTCTTTCACTTATAAAGATCCCTGTGATTACATTGGGCCCACCTCAATAATTCCCGCATCTCAAGAACCTTAATTTAGCCCCACCTGCATAGTCCCCTTTGGCATACAAAGTAATACATTCACAGGTTCTGGGGATTAGGACATGGACATCTTTGGCAGGGGCATTATTCTGCCTACCACAAAACAAACAAACAAACACCATCTAAAAAGAATTCTTCGCTAGATACATGAAAAATCGGGGGCCAGAGTTGTAGAGAAATGACTCTGCTGTTGCCCCCTTGCTACTTTGTATCTATCCACATAGGCCATGCAGGCAAAGGCTTGACCTGTGGCCAATCTGAATGTTGGCAGAATGCCCTGTGATTCTCCCAGAACATGAAAGGATAGAAGGCCTGTAAGGAGCCCCTATGAAGCCATCTCCCACTCACCTCTCCCGGGAAACTGTCAGAAGACAGTTTTTCATTGCCTCCTAGGTTCTGATGAGGTAAGGGGTTTTTTGCCCTGCCCCTTCAGAAGAGAAATGCAGAATATAAAACTGCTTAGGTGCAGTCTAGATTGGGCTCTTTAGCTATGGGGAGGAGGCACAGACACAGAGTACAGGTTAAAAAGTTGATGGTCATTTGTGGCTAGTGTTATCTATTTAGTCTAAGGGGATTCGTTCTACTCTGGGGTATTGGAAGCAGGTCCAAATTTGTTCCACAGTGCCTTTAAGAGAGCACAGCACGGGGATGTCTGGGTAGCTCAGATGGTTAAGCATCTGCCTTTGGCTCAGGTCATGATCTTGGGGTCTTGGGATCGAGCCCCTGTCGGGCTCCCTGCTCAGCGGGGAGTCTGCTTCTCCCTATCCCTCCTACCCCTGCTCGTGCTCTCTCTCTCTCTCAAATAAATAAAATATTTAAAAGAGAGAGAGTGAGAGAGCACAGCATGTGGTCTGTGGGAGAGGATGCCTTTTTCTCCTGTGAAACTTTTATTGAGTAGAACATATTAGCCAAACTTATAATTTCGGCTCAAACGTCATCCATTAAGGCAGTAATATCTGGGAGGGGTGCTCTAATGAAGGGAATAATCATGTTTAACTATAGTCTATGGTCAGCTTCATTTATGCTTAGTGGCTTTAAGCACAGGCTGCACCAGGAACTAAAAGGTGAAATGGCAGGAACCGGTGTCCCTTCTTTCACTAAGTTGGCGAGGATGGCCTGAACTCCTTCAGCACCTTTCTCAGCCGGTAGTTCCTGCAGCATATTGACCACCTCCGCTGATAGAGGAAAGTTAACTAGTTCTCAACGGCTGGTGCCCACCAATAGCAAAAGCTTTCAGCTTGTTTCATGAGGTTGGCTCAGCAGGTCCCATTTCAATAATGGGGAAAAGGGACTGTCTGGGAGGAACAATCAAGACAGAATCATCTTTTAGCAAAAGTGGGCCAATTTTACTAGTTAAGCTGATAATCGTTAATCCTCCTCCCAAGCCATTCATTTCCTGGGCTTGGGGAGAGGGAGTGCTTTCTTGGGGTAGGCCCTTCATCATAGAGATGCTGTGTATTTCCTCCTCCAAGAAAGAGCCTTTCCTTTTTTTTGCCTTCCCCTTTGCCTTTGTGTCTTTTAGTACTTTTTGGAAGGTCACTGGCAAAGCAGAGGATAAATTGTCTCAGTTCTTACAGTGGTGACACTGTACTTTTTTTTCTCTTTTCCAGCAGAGGGGACCAGTCCTTTTTTCCCAGGATCCTGAATTCTGTCATGTTGCACCTCCCCCAGGAGTTTGGGCTCTTTCCTCCTCTGGGTGGCATCCTGGTAAGAAGCTGTGGTAAGCAGAACCCAACACCCATCTTGTGGTTTAGAACATTCCTTCAGTAAAATAGCCACCTTCTTTGGGCTCCTGGGAAGGGCAGGGATATAAACTTCTTTGACTTTACTTTTTTTTTTTCTTAAGATTTTATTTATCTGACAGAGAGCACAAGCAGAGGGAGAGAGAGGGAGAAGCAGGCTCCCTGCTGAGCAAGGAGCCCGACGTGGGACTCAATTCCAGGACCCTGGGATCATGACCCTGGCCGAAGGCAGCTGCTTAACCAACTGAGCCACCCAGGCGTCTCTACTTTTTTTTTTTTAAGATTTTTATTTATTTATCTGAGAAAGAGAGAGCACAAGCAGGGGGAGGGGCAGAGGGAGAAGCAGACTCTGCTGAGCAGGGAGCCCGATTCAGGGCTCGATCCCAGGACCCCAGGACCGTGACCCAAGCCGAAGGCAGATGCCTACCTAACCCACTGAGCCACCAGGCACCCCTTGACTTTAGTTACTTTAAGTAATGTTTTAGCTGGCTCGGCCCAAGAATTGGAGGTCTTGATGTTCCTTTGAGGAGGGGCCGGAATGCCATCCTTGACAGCAGATCTGAGAGGGACTACAGCTAAAGCCTGCTAGCTGCGCTTAGGAGACCTGCCATCTCTGCCTTATGGGCTTATTAACTTGTAGCAATCCCCAAGGACATGGACATCCTTTTGTCTCAGAGTACCCCAAAACACCAGCCTGGTCACAGGGACCTCCTCTTACCACAGCCCATGAAGGGGTCAGGGACTGGTCACCCCCAGCCCTTAAATCGCAGCTCCCGAAGCCCCGCCCCTTACGCTGTGCGTGAATCAGAAACCGGAAGCAGAAATGAGCTCTTGCGCGTGCGCGAGTTGGCGGCCATATCTACGCGATCCCCAGCTAGCGTCTGGGCTAGTGTTTTGCCTGAGTTCGGCGCGTCCTTCCAGGCTGGGTCTGACCAGCCCCAGGTCCGGCCTGCGGGAGGGGGAGAGGTCGGCATTGGGAGGACCGCCGCTCTGGCCGTGCCCCCTGCCCCCGCCGGAATCCAGCGCGGGGGACCTGCCCCGGCCGCGGCTCGTCCCAAACTCACTGAATCAGGAGCTCTGGGCTGCGTCCAGCAGCCGGGTTGAGTCGGCTGCAGGCTAGAGTTAGAAAACCACTCTCCTATGTAATCGGCCTTCCAAAGCATCCTTTGCTGTCTTTAAGGAAAGTAAAAGCATCCCTGCCATTCGGTCACGGGGACGAGCGCCTCCACCTCGTCTGTACGCTGGTCAGTGGATTTCGGCGTGTTCGGTGAGCACCGGGTGACATTTGCCTCAACTCCGTTCCCATCTCCCCTCCTGGTGCAGGAGGTATTTCATCCGTGAATTTTACCTTGCCTGTGGGCATCAGTTTGATACATTATACTCAAGTACATAAATGTGAACTGATTACTTAGTATCTCTGTAACCCCCTTCATCGTCGAATGCAGCTATAAATTTTAATCATTTATCTGTAGATTATTTTGAATTTCACACCGAGAGTGACATCATGTGCCATTTTCAGCGTTTTCTCTTTTATTCCTGTACCTTGCATTCTTTTTTATTTATTTAGTGTGTTTGCTAGGACCTCCACTTCAGTGGACAGACAGTACTAGAGTGGCATATAATTTACATCCTTGCCTTGTTCCTGATCCCAGACGGAATTATTCTATCATTTCAGCATTTAAATGGGATGTTTGTGGGGCGCCTGCATGGCTCAGTTAAGTGACTTTTTTTTTTTTTTAAGAGAGAGCGAGGGTAGGGAGAGAGAGAATCTTAAACGGATTCCCCAATGAGTGGGGGAGCCCCACCCCGACCTCTGGGACTGGATCTCACAACCCTGAGATCAAGACCTGAAACTGGGGCGCCTGGATGGCTCAGTTGGTTAAGCGTCTGCTTTTGGCTCAGGTCATGCCTGGGATCCAGCCCCGCGTCGGGCTCCCTGCTCAGCGGAGAGTCTGCTTCTCCCTCTGCCTCTCCCCCTGGCTTATGCTCTCTTTCTCACTCACTCTCTCTCTCAAATAAAATAAAATAAAATCTAAAAAAATAAAAAAGACCAGAACCTAAATCAAGAGTACCGCGCTTAACCGACTGAGCTACCCAGGTGACCCCAGTTATAATGTCTTGGTCTCAGCTCAGGTCTTGATCACAGGGTCGTGAATTCAAGCTCTGCTAGGCTCTACACTTGGCACTGAGCCTCCTTTAAAAAAAAAAAAATGTTTGCTGTAGGTGTTGTAGATGATAATTATTTTTTCCTAATTAAAGTTATTCTCCTCTAGTTCTAATTGGTTAAATGATCAGCAATGGATATTGATATAGATCGGTCACTATTTTGTATCTAAGAGGAAGAGCCATATGATCTTTTAATATTAATGCGATGATTATATTAATTGAGGATTTCATTTTTAACCACCTTTCATTCCTGGGAGGAAATGAACTTGGTTTGTGATTATACCCTCATTATTCAATTCTTGATTGTACTAAAACTTTTTTTTTTTAAAGATTTTTATTTATTTGAGAGAGAGCATGGGGGGGGAGGGTCAGAGGGAGAAGCAGACTCCCCGTTGAGCAGGGAGCCCGATGCAGGACCCAATCCTGGGACTCTAGGATCATGACCTGAGCCGAAGGCAGTCGCTTAACCAACTGAGCCACCCAGGCGCCCCTGTACTAAAACTTTGATATTATTTTGCATTCATATGTGTGAATGAGATCTTTCCTGTTTTGTTTTGAGTTGTCCTTTTTAGGCTTGGGAACACTCAGGAAAACAGTATTTTCCATCCCTACAATGGAATTATGAATCCTTTACTTATTTGGTGAACTTACATGTGAAACAATTTGTAATTCGTATTTCCTTTGTGGGCATGTTTTAAACTACTGTTTTTTTTTTCTTTTCCTTTAGGATTGGATGTAATCAAGTTTTGTATTTATTTTAGATCATTGCCAGAAAGTTGTACTTCTTTCTAGCAATTCATTCAGTATATGTACATTTGCATGTATATTCTCTTAACTTTTTTGTTGTATTCTCCCTTCAACATCTGTGATTATGATTCATTCATAACTCTTTGTCTATGCTCTGTTGTTAAAATTGCTAAAGCTTTGTTGATTTCATTAGTTTTCAAAGGACACCTTGTTCATTTTTATGATTCTTTTTATTTTTTAAAAATATTAATTTTGTCCTATTTTCATTTTTCTAAACCTTTATGCTGTTCTTTTTCCATCCTTTAAGTTAATGGTTAGCCCACTCATACTGATTTTATTTTCTCTGGGAGTTGATGATATTCATATAAATATGTAAATATATGTACCACACCAACTGTGGATTTCCAGTGTTATCTGAAACACTTCTTTTAATTTTCTGCTTCTTCCCGGCCACAAAAGTAGTCCTAACTGGCTAAACATAAATGTGTATGTGCCTGTTTATCCCTGTAATGTGCTGCATTATTTTGTATCATATACCACACCTGATACATTTTGTTCATTTACTGCCCTCCCTCAAATGATTATAACATCCATGTCCTTTAGGATTTTTCTGTTTTGTTCAGTGCTATATCCCCTGTGACTGTATGTAGTGGGATTGGGGTAAATATTACCTAAGTAAATATGAAATAAAGAAGCAAGAGGTAGGGGCCTTAAGGGAAGTGTCCTTGCTCAAAAAAGGGGGCTTAGAGGCACTTGGGTGGCTCAGTCATTAAGCATCTGCCTTCGGCCCAGGTCATGGTCCCAGGGTCCTGGGATCGAGCCCCACATTGGGCTCCCTGCTCCGCGGGGAGTCTGCTTCTCCCTCTCCCGCTCCCCCTGCTTGTTTTCCCTCTCTCGCCGTGTCTCTCTCTGTCAACTAAATAAATAAAATCTTTAAAAAAGCGGGGGGGCTTAGTCAAGAGGAGCTCAAAGATAAAACATTTATTTATTTATAAGAGGATTATTTATTTCTCTCTCTCTCTCTCTCTCTCTCTCCAGAGAGGCGCACAGGAGAGAGACAAACAGACTTTGCACTGAGCACAGAGCCTGATGCAGGGCTTGATCCCTTGACCCTGAGATCATGACCTGAGCTGAAATCAAGAGCCAGATACTTAACCAACTGAGCCACCCAGGCGCCCCAAGATAAAACATTTAAATAGAATACTTCATTTGCCTACTTTCCATAGTGCACAGCAGGGTTCTAGGCTAGACTCTGGTAATGTTAGTAATAAGAGCCTCACTAACAACTAAATTGTAAGGTGTATGTTCAGAAATACACTCATTGGGAGTTTAGGCTTTGAAGACAAACAGGCCTGCATTCACACATCTGTCTATGTATCACACCCTGTGTTACATACACCTCAGCAGCTTTCTGACTGGGTAACATTGAGTGTATGGTTAATTGGTTCTCAGATTTCTCAACTATAAACTGGTTGTAATAATACCTGATTTGCAGAGCTTCTATGAAAGAAAAGCTCTTTGCAAGATCACATCATGGTTGCTTAAATGGCACATTATTAATTCAGTAAAGAATGTTGTGGTTTTTTCAGTTTTAAAATATACTACTTGATCCACTGCCTGGAAAAAACTGTTGTATTTTCATTATTTTAAATTTATGTAATAGAGCTGCAGATATTACTATTGGAGATGACATGTTGCTAAGTTCACTTCAGGCGTTCTTGTCCTCTCTTCTGTACTGTGTAGGCACAGTTTAGGACAAGAGTCACAGCATGGCAGTCTTCCCTGCCTCCTGCATGTAGAATTCAGTCTGTTGATGCTTTTTCGTAAAAATCAAGTTTCAGAGGCCCTGCAGCCCATGGAGGGGAGGGTTCAGTGGTCAGGGGCTGAGCAGTAATTCCTGTTAGCTGCCAGTGGTGCAGAAGTAAGAAATACTGGGAGTGGAGCCCCCAGAAGTTGCATCTATAAATGCTTTTTTTGGATCTGACACAGTGTCAAAGTTATGGTTGAAGGCATTGTCTGCTGTTTTTTGTTTTTCATTATCATGGGAAAACTGACAGTTAAACTTTTTTAGATTTCAATTAACTTAGAACATGGGACTTTTAACCTTTTTTTTTTTTTTTTTTAATTAGCAAGGACCCCAGCAATGTTTTTTTTTAGCTCTAGAGGAGATAAGATTACTCCACCTCCTTACAAGATCAGTGTGTATTTGGTTGGGTGTCTTGGGGGTATGCTTTATGTCTGTGTGTGTGTGTGTGTGTGTGTGTGTTTTGAGGGGAGTGGTCCCTCATAACGGATATGCTGCAGCATCCAGGCTCATGAGTTGTGGAAATTGTGGGGAGACCTGGATTCTCGTGTTTTCTTTCTCCTGCCTCAGCTCTAATTTCTCAGTACTCTTGACTTTCTTCATGAAGGGAACATGGAAGAAGAAAGAAAAGTTGCAGAGTTACAGAAAAATATGACACAGGTAAGTAGGTGCTAATAATTCTCCAAAAGAATTTTCCATTCTACCAGGTCCTTGACCTCCTAATTGTTTAGAGCAGTTGTTAGCGATCTATTTCTCTGTTGGGCCACATTGTAAGTGTCTTAGGCATTGAAGGCTATAGAGTTTCTATTGCAATTAAACCACCAATTTAGTTTGAAAGCAGCCACAGACAGTACATAAACAAATGTTTTATTGTGTTCCAATAAAACTTTACCCAAGCAAGTTGTAGGCTGGATTTAGCCCATGTGCTATAGTTTGCTGACCCCTGGCCTAGAATACAATATGGCCAGCTGTGGGCCTGAGGTGAAAGTTATATTTCTGCAAGCTCCTGGGCCTCAGGTTTGTGGGAAGATAAGTAAGTAAGTAAGTAAGTAAGTAAATAAGTAAGTAAGTAAGTGTAAGTAAGTAAATAAATAAATAAATAGAAAGAAAGAAAGAAAGAAAGAAAGAAAGAAAGAAAAAAAGGAAAGCTTCCTATTCCTCAAGTGTGTTTTTATGCATTTAAACCTCACTTGGATTTGACCCAGTCTTTCATGTTGTGCTGAGTGCTGTGGTGGGAAAGAAGGAAGCAGGTGAAATTGTTTGTGTAACAAGAAATTGCTGGTGTCAGTGTGGAAATTAACTCATCTCTAGAGCATTTCTGTCATTTCTGCTATAGGCTCTGGACTGTCCTGGATCATAAGACTGGAAATGGTCACCATCAAACTGTGCAAGAGATAAATTTGGTGTTTTAGAAGTGTGGTTAGATACATGAGACTGGATGGGGTCAGTTAGGAAGGATGTAATGGGTAGATGTTGGGAGACCATAAAATCTTCAGAACTTCCTCTGAATTGATTCTCAGTTCCCCAGTATTAGCAACTTCATCAATCTTCCTGCACACATGGGGAGAGTGAGCACCTTTCTGAAAAGAATATATGTGGGATGTTTTAGGACTCTGTGGTCTTTGAGGATGTGGCCGTGGACTTCACCCAGGAGGAGTGGGCTCTGCTGGATTTTGCTCAGAGGAGCCTCTACAGAGATGTGATGCTGGAAAACTTTCAGAACCTGGCCTCCCTAGGTAAGAATGGCAACATTCCTTCATTTAGTTGTTTAGAAAACAATTTTACTAATTGACCTTGTTCTAGGATTTAGGCTGAGGAATTGGAATGAATTGGTAAATAAGACCGACATGGTCACAGACCCCAAGGAACTTTAGTGGCTTTACCATGAAAATAAACATCTGTGTAGTGAACTGCCTTTTTCTTTTTCTTGTGGTTAAAAGCCTTGAGGCTTATTAAGTGTTAAAAGTGCTGACATAGACTTCAGGGGTCACTTTGGGCCTTAGGGAGGTTTGTGGTTTGGGTCCTTATGAGAATTTTAATGATGTCAATGGTCTTTACTCAGAAACATACCTGTAAACAAGGTGGGGGGGTTATTACTCAGTGCAGGGAGGGAGAACATATGACATGGGAAGCTGTGGTGTGTCTCAGAAAGAAAGTGTTAAAAAGTACATATTACAGGGTTTGTACTTTGGGTGAGTGATTTGGGGATGGTCTGTGGAAGTAGGCTGTATTGGTTTCCTAGGCCTTTCATAACAAAGTACCACAATCTGTGGCTAAAAACAGCAGAAACTTATTTTTTCACATTTCTGGAGACTGGAAGTACAAACAAGGTGTCAAGTAGGACCATGCTCCTTCTGAAGGCTCTATGGGAGAAATCTCTCCTTGTCTCTTCCTAGCCTCTGGTGGTTGCCAGCAATACTTGGCGTTTCTTGGTTTGCAGTGATATCATTCTTTTTTTTTTTTTTTTAAGATTTTATTTTTAGGTGATCTCTACACCCAACGTGGGGCTAGAACCCACAACCCTGAGATCAGGAGTCGCATGCTCTACCGACTGAGCCAGCCAGGTGTCCCATGCAGCTAGATCATTCTAATCTTTGCCTTTGTCCTCACATGGCCTTTTCCCCTTTGTCTCTATGCCCCTCCTTATAAGGACACTAATCAATGGATTTAAGACCCACCCTAATCCAGTATAACTCCTTCTTTACTTGATTATGGCTACAAAGACCCTATTTCCAAATAAAGTAACATTCTGAGCTTTCAAGTGAACATGACATTTTATTTTGACACACTTACTTTTTTTTAGAGCAGTTGTAGATTCACAGCAGATGTGAATGGTAGATACAGAGACTTCTGCTCCCACATAGGTAGAGCCTCTTCCACTATCAGCATCTCCTACCAGAGTGGTACATTTGTTACAATTGATGAACCGGAATCGACACATCATCATCACCCTGAGTCCATAGTTTATGCATTAGGATTCACTCTTGGTGAAGTCATTCAACACAGAATACATTCTGTGGCTTGGGCAAATATGTAGTGGTATACATCATTATAGTATCATTTAGAGTAATTTCACTGTCCTAAAAATCCTCTTTGCCTCATCAGTTCATCTCCTTCCTCGCTAACCTGTGGCAACCACTGATCTTTTTACTGTCCCCATAGTTTTGGCTTTTCTAGAATGTCATGTAGTTGGAATCATATGGTATATAGATTTTTCAGTGGTTTCTTTCACTTAGTAATATGCATTTATGCCTCTTTAATGTCTTTACATGGCTTGATAATTCATTTCTTTTTAATTCAGAATAGTATTTCATTGTCTGGGTGTACCGCAGTTTTATTCATCCATTCACCCTCTGAAGGACATCTTAATTCTTTCTAATTTTGGGCAGTTGTGAATAAAGCTGCAGTAAAACATGCATGTGCAGGTTTTTGTGTGGACGTGTTTTCAGCTCCTGTGGGTAAATTCCAGGGAGTGTGATTGCCTGATCATATGGTAGGATTAGTTTTGTGAGAAGTTGCCAAACTGTCTTCCAGAGTGCTGTACCATTTCACATTCCCCCCAGCAGTGAATGAGAGTTCCTGTTCTACAGCCTTGCCAGCATTTGTTGGTGTCAGTGTTCTGTATTTTAGCTGCTCTCATAGGTGTGTGGCGGTTTCTCATTGTTTTAATCTGCATTTTCCTGATGACATATGGGACTATCTCTTCATATGGTGTTTTCCTCGAGGAATTTCCTTGTTTTGCATTTTACATTTAGGTCTTTGATCCATGTGATCCATTTTGGGTTGATTTTTGTGAAGAGTGTAAAAGTCTGTGTCTAGATTAATTTTCTTGCATGTTGATGGCTAGTTGTTTCAGTCTCTGTTGAAAAGACTTCTTCGTGTATTGCCTTTGATCCTTTGTCAAAGATCCGCTGACTATGTTTATGTAGGTCTATTTCTGGGCTCTCTATTCTGTTTCATTGATCTGTTTGGACATATATTTTCAAGGGAGACTGTTCGACCCAGTCCAGGTGGTCACTTTAGATTGGATGCTGATAAAAAGAGGTAGAAATTTTATTATTGAGTATTTTATGGGTGGCACAGTCACTTTTTTTGGGGGGGGTCATCCTTAGATTAAATTATGTAGTGGCCTTATTTTGTTTAATTTTATCATGGTCTCAGAGTAATCTTGTTTAAGATTGGTATTCTGTGAGATTATTAATGTGCAATAGGAGAACAAAATGTCCTGGCTATATCAGACCAGCTGCTAATATTAATATTGAAGTTTAGATAATGAATATCACATCAGTTCTAGAAATCAGAGGCTGTGTCATTGTCTTTGTCATTGTCTACTCCCCCATCCTGCTCCTGCTTTAAAAAAACTTTTGACAAACATTTTGTAGAAATTCAATTTGCTCTTGCCCATTATTACAGTATCAGAAGGGCAAAATTTTGACCCTGTCTCATGGAAATGTTTATGGTTCCTCATTATTTTCCGTCATGATAAGCCTTTCTGCATTAACAGGGTATCCACTGCAGACACCATATCTGATCTCCCAGTGGAAACAAGAGGAGGACCTGGAGACAGCAGAAAGAGGACCTATCCAGGGGGAGCACCAGGAAGGCAAGAAACCTTGGGAGAAACTGTTCTGGTTGGGGGATATTATGTTTGGAAAAATCAAATAAAAGCAAAACAAAACTTTGTTTTGTTTGAGGGGTGTGATCTTCTAGATACCTTAGATTACTATTTTGACTTTTTATCAGTATTCTCACACTTTCCTTGTTCTTGGGAAAGACGGTCCATATTTCCTCTTGTAAGTTAGTATTTGGTCATTTGCATTTTAGGAAGGAACTGGTTCCTTTTTGTTTTGTTTTCCTTTTTAAGTTTTATTTAAGCAATCTCTACAACCCGCATAGGGCTCAAACTCATGACCCCAAGATCAAGAGTTCCATGCTCTTCTGACTGAGCCAGCCAGGTGCCCTTTGTTCTCCTAATAAGACCTTATTTGTGTTACTATCAGTCTCAGTCTTGATGGAATTATTTCTTGCTTACCATTTTGACCCTTGTGTATATTACCAAAGTCCTGAAACAGCTACGTTGCCAGAAGTCCTTTTCCTTATAGGTGCCTCTGCCTTTTTGTTTCAGGTTTTGAGATTCAACTTAAAACTAATGAATCAGTAGCTCCACAAGATATTTATGGACAGAGAATATCCAGTGAACAGAAAATAGTAAGATTCAAAAGGAATGATTCTTGCTCATCCATTTTACACAAAAACTGGGAATACCATGGTATTTGTTATCAGAACAAAAACCATGAGAGACATTTGAGGTGAGTGCCATTCAAAAAAGAAAAAGTATGCCTCGAGAGAGAATCTTAAAATGTCATAAAACTTAAAAAATGTGTACCTAGAACTTGTTCAAAAATTGTGATTTCATAAAGAATTTTTCCAAGATTTTTTTCCCCCCAAAAATGACATTGAGATCTTCAATGTTTGAAACATAGTTCAATTATAAGCAATTACCAGAAAAATTGTATGTCAAAAAAACCTCAGTGATAATATTGGCTATTGTAGACCCTTCTGTGAGGACTTTGAACTTGTAACTTGACTGGGCAGAAAATGTAGTCACTGAACATGATAAAATTATATTCATTACTAATAATGTGCTTTTATTTTTAAAAGAAGTCCAGTTGTGGAGAACATCTATGAATGTAATGAAGAAAATTGGTGTGGACAAGACTTCGGCCAAACTTCACATCTTAATATACTCAAGAGAACTACTGAAGTGAAGTCCTATGAATGCCACGAGTGTAAAATGGCCTTCACGGACCATTTATCCCTTAAGAATCACATCAGGTCTCACACTGGAGGCAAACCCTATCAATGTAAAGAATGTGGGAAAGCTTTCCATTTTCTTGCTTGTTTTAAGAAGCATGTGAAAAATCCCACTGAAGGGAAACCTTATGAATGTAAAGAATGTACAAAAACCTTCGGTTGTTCTTCCTTCTTTAGGGCACATATGAAGATTCACACTGGAAAGACAAGCTATGAATGTAAGGAATGTGGAAAAACCTTTAGCTGTTCTTCATCCCTGACAGAACACAAAAGGATTCACAGTGGAGATAAGCCTTATGAATGTAGGGAATGTGGGAAGGCATTTAGTTGTTCTTCCTCACTCTCCAAACACAAAAGAATTCACAGTGGAGATAAGCCATATGAATGTAAGGAATGTGGGAAAGCCTTTAGTTCTTCCTCTCACCTTATAATACATATAAGAATTCATACTGGAGAGAAGCCTTACGAATGTAAAGAGTGTGGGAAGGCCTTCAGCGAGTCCTCAAAACTCACTGTACACGTCAGAACACACACAGGAGAGAAACCCTATAAATGTAAGGAATGTGGGAAAGCCTACAACTGTCCCTCCTCCTTAAGTATCCATATGAGAAAACACACTGGAGAGAAACCCTATGAATGCCTGGAATGTGGAAAAGCCTTCTATCTTCCCACTTCCCTTAATACGCATGTGAAAAATCAAAGTAGAGAGAAACCCTATGAATGTAAGGAATGTGGAAAAGCCTTTAGTTGTCCCTCATCCTTCAGAGCACACGTGAGAGATCACACTGGAAAGATACAATATGAATGTAAGGAATGTGGGAAGGCCTTTAGCCGTTCCTCATCCCTCACTGAACACTTAAGAACTCACACTGGAGAGAAGCCTTATGAATGTAAAGAATGTGGGAAAGCCTTTATTAGTTCCTCCCACCTTACAGTACATATAAGAACTCACACTGGAGAGAAACCTTATGAATGTAAGAAATGTGGCAAAGCCTTTATTTATCCCTCAGCTCTGAGGATCCACATGAGAACACATACTGGGGAGAAACCTTATGAATGTAAGGATTGTGGGAAAGCCTTTCGTCATTCTTCATACCTTACTGTCCATGTGAGGACGCACACTGGTGAGAAACCCTTCGAATGTCTGGAATGTGGGAAAGCCTTCAGTTGTCCCTCATCCTTTCGAAGACATGTAAGAAGCCACACTGGAGAGAAACCATATGAATGTAAGGAATGTGGGAAAGCCTTTGTGTGTCCTGCCTACTTTCGAAGACATGTGAAAACTCACACTAGGGAAAACGTATAAATGCTGTGAAATGTGGGAGCGTCTGCAAGGCGTTTTCACCTCATAGCATATCTGGAACGTTGTGGAGATGGGCCATGAATGTAAGAAAGCAAGAAAGTGTTGCTTATCTGTTTGAGGACTTGAGAACTCACAGCTAAGAGAAGCCTGTGTCCATACACCTTGTGGGAATGCCTTTGTGAATGTCACTTCCGGCGTGTAAGAAAATTCACACGAGAAGCACAGATCAGGGCCTCACCTGTAAAGTGGACTGCTGGCTCATTGATACTCGGTTTCTGTTTTCTGATACGAATATTTAAGGTGATAAATTTTCCTCTAATACCTTTTCAGGTCTGACCACATTTTATTATAGGTACTTTTATTTTGGCCAAGATGTAAACGTTCTTTACGTTATAAAATCTTTTGGACCCATAGGGGATTCAAGGTGTTTTTCAAATGCCTGCAGGAGTGATCTTTTTTTTTTAATTAGTATCTAATTAATACTCATTGTTCTCCAGGTGTGCAGTATCACACCTGTTATGGTATCAACACTTTGGTATTTGTAATTTCTTTTGTAATTTCTTCCTTGTAATTGGTCATTTCATTTTGATCTAGTTATGGCAGATACTGGAAATTGCCTACCCAATTTTTTTTCCTTTTTTTTTTTTAACTAAAAGAACCTAAAGTTTTTCAGGTTATCAGTTTTTATTATTAGAAGCTTTTTCTGTCTAATAAGCCATTTCAACAGAAATTAATAAGGGCAAGTTCTCAAAAGAAGAGTCGCATCTAATACGTTGTTTTTATATTTTCTCTGTCCTTGCTCATGGCTAGGAATTGGACCCAGTGTTTTGAGTTTAAAAAGGGACCTTCTGACAAGAAAGCTAGAAGTAGAGTTGGTTCAGCTGGCTTGTGTGTGTTAATTTGGACATGGTTGGGATTCCATTTCTCAGAATCATTTCCCTATCCAGTCCCAGGTTAGAGTTGTCTGAAACAGAGTTTGCATGAGAATTGGAAGGCAGCGGGAAAAAGCTATTATTCTTCATTTAGTGGGGCCATAGGATGGAGACAGATACATAGGGGCATGGTGAGCTTCAGTGTCCGGCTCATTTCCTGATGATCGGACCCACCAATCAATACTAGCTTGAAACAGAACATTAAATGCTTTTACTTCAGTAAAGTCAGAGGCAGCAGCTCCATAGACCTTTCCATAAGTTCCTCCATCACGGTCATACACAGCTTCTTAGGTTTTCTGGCAAGTTCCAGCATTGTCCTTTTGCTGAGCTGACAGTCCCTCTGGCACATCAGCCGGCTCTATAGAGGTGGCCCCATTTTGGAGCAGGATTGTTATCTGTGTATAGTGCAATCCCATCGTGTCACTTTGCTCAAGGGGAAAGACATCTGTGCAAGTCCACTGGCATCTCCAGCAAGAAGGGCTGTGGGCAGTAAGGAAAATCAGGTATCAGCGAGGTGAGCATCAGACAGGCATCATCCTATTTTAGTGGAGGAAGATTTATATTTGACACCTTCAGATTTTTCTGCTTTTTTATTTGAGAAAGATGAAAGTTCTTTGGTTTGTGCTTCTTCAGGTACATCTGGCTACACTTTTCCCTTCCATTATATTTCCCCTTTATTTCAAAAGTAGACCTATGCCACTTTCCCTTCATCATTTTCTGCTGTTTTAGTAAAGCATATATATGCTACTGTGCACGACATGTGCTAATTTTAAGTGTACAGCTTGATGAAATTTCACTTGTACATACCCGGGTAAACAGAACATTCCCAGGATTCCAGAAAGTTTATTTATCTGCCTTCTCAATAATTGCTCCACAGAGGAAACCACAATTTGACTTTTATTCAGTTTATTAGGTTTGCTTCTTCTTGATCTTCTTGATCTTTATGTAAGTGCTTAAATACAATATGTACAATTATATGTTTGACTTCTTTTCTCAGCATGATGTCTAGTTTGCCTTTTAATTGCTCCTTTTACTGACTTATTTCTCTTGGTATATGTTTTGTTTGTAGGAATGGGATCACTGACTCATAGGGTAGACTTTAGCTTTAGTTTTAATAGGTATTCCAGTTTTTCAAAAAGGTGGATTCCACCTATCATCCTAAAAGCAATGCATGCAAATTCCAGTTGTTCCACCTAGTTGGCCAGCCCTTTCTAATCTTAGGCATCCAGCAGAGGACATGGTAATATCCTGCTTTGGTTTCAGTTTGCAGTTACCTGATATGTAGTGATGGTAAATGCTTTTTTATGTGCTTATTGGCTATTTGGATATCTTTTATGAGGGCACCCTGTTGAAGCATTTCCCCCATTTTTGGTTCCTTTTTTATTTGAAGGGTTTCCTTCTAGTTACTGTCTTCTTTTGTATGTATGTGTGTCTCTGTGTCTAGTTACATACACATAAATAAAACCATGTGTTATATATCATGTATTCATAACTTAACATAGATTATATATACATATATTGCAGATAACTTTTCCCCACCTCTGGCTTGTTTTTTCACTCTTCTCGTATGTATAAGCTATAAAGGAAATTTATTGGTTTGATTATTGAAGAAGTCCTTCGGGGATGGCTGGGATCCTGGGGCTAAAAAGCTGTTATCTGGATGAGTTCAGTGTCCGTATCTTGGCTCTGTATCTTCTTACATTTAGCTATTCTTCCTGGCAGGCTATTTTTCTCTACCATAGTTCCCAGAAGATCCAGGCTGCTTTCTTTCTAGGTTGAAGTCTCAGGAAGAAAAGAGCGATGGTCTTTTTGAACAACTCCAATATGATCATTATAATAGAATCTGATTGGCTCACTTGCTAATAGTTATCTAATCACTGTGGCCAAAGGAATGTAATACTCTGATTTGTTTAGGACTGGCTCCTGTGTTCATCCAGAAACCAGAGTAGGGTTGCACCAACTGAGTCAGAGTGTGATGTGTACGGAGAGGGGAGGAGGCAGCAGGGGGCAAGTGGGGTAATATTGTCAGCTAGCATGTTGTGCTTACTAGGGTCTTAGCAACAGGAGGGAACTGAGGTCTGGCAACTCACCAGGGGCTGAGTAGTTCTAGAAATCCTTTCAGAAAGGTTAGATGCCATCTGTTAAAATATCTTCAGATTGCTAAAGGTGGCTTCTCAACCTTTATGTTGCTTTGCGGTACATTTAGAAATCTGGTAGTGAGAGACTTAAAACATTTTTATTCTTTAAGATTGTCCTGCCTTCTCTATTCCTCATTTGTTTCTATATTATTTTTAGAACTTCCTTATCAGTTTTCACAAATATGCTGAGAGTGTGTTTGGAGTTGCATTGACGATGCCATTACCTGAATGAAATTGACATCTTTACAAGATCGAGTCTTCCAATTAAACATAATATAGTCATCCATTTACCTAGGTTGTCTTTAATTTTTCTCAACAGTGTTTTGTAGTTTAATTATAGAGGACTTGAATATCTTTGTTTAATTTATTTCTAGGTATGTGGTATGTTTTGCTTTGTAAATATATTTATTTCCTGTTTAATTTTTTAGCTAGCATGAATTGTGATTTCTTTTTGTACATTGATCTTTTTATCCAGTGACATTTATAAATTAAATTATTATTACTTGAATTATTCAAATAGTTTGTGGATTATTTTGGATTTTCTGTGTACAATCCTGTCAATAACAAAAGGAATTCTTAACTTGATTTCTAAACTTTATCTTTTTTTTTTTATTTTGCCTCATTGCTTTACAGTGATGAATAGAAATGATGAATATGAACATCTTTGCTCTGTTCCTGATCTTAGGGGGAACTGTTCAATATTTTATAAGTATAATAATAGCTGTAAGTTTTTCATAGATTACTTTTAAAAATGAAGAGAATTGTTTTATTCCCAGTTTGCCAAGTTTTTTTTTTTTATTATTGTGAGTGAATATTTTATCCAGTGCCTTCTCTGCATGTATCATGGTCTTAAAAAAAAATCCTTCAGTTTGTTAATGTGAATTATTACATTCCTTGATTTTCAGATGGTAAAACATGTCTTCCTGGAATAAACCACACTTGGACATGGTATATATTGGCTAATTAGCCTTCTCATTTTGCTAGATTAAGTATATGACTTTAAAAAAATTATTTCTGTGTCTGTTAATTAGAGGTTTGTCTTGTAATTTTTTGTCATGTACTTGTCTGTGTTTTGTGTCAAGTTTATATTGCCCCATAAAAGGAGTTGGAAACTGTTATGAAAGACTTTCTATAAAATTTGAACGAGTTAGTCCTTATATGTTTGGAACAATTCACTAGTGAATCTGTCTTAATGGGTTTTCTTCACAGAAAGCTTTTGTAAGATAGTTTCACTGGTGAAACTATATATATAGATAGATTATTCAGGTTTTTTTATTTGTTCTTGTGTTAGTTTTGCTAAATTGTATCTGTCCATTCCATAACTTTTCAAACGTGTTGGCATAAATTTTATTCACAATATCCTGTAATTCCCTTTTTTTTTTTAAAGATTTTATTTATTTGAGAGAGAGAATGAGAGATAGAGAGCACGAGAGGGAAGAGGGTCAGAGAGAGAAGCAGACTCCCTGCTGAGCAAGGAGCCCGACATGGGACTCGATCCCAGGACTCCAGGATCATGACCTGAGCCAAAGGCAGTCGCTTAACCAACTGAGCCACCCAGGTGCCCGTCCTGTAATTCCCTTTTAATGTCTGAAAACTCACTATATCCCCTTTTCATTTCTGATATTGGTAATATATATGTTCTCTTCCTTTTTCTTCATCCTGTTAGGGATTTAGATATATTAATTTTTTCCAAGAACCAACTTTATTCTGCCTTCTGATTATTTAATTTTTGGTTTTATTCCCTTCTATTCTATTGGGTTTAATTTAATTCTAGCTTTTGGGGTAGATGCTTATATCAGTGCCTATCTCCTGCTATGCCCAGTCTGCTTATAAACCTATCCAATCAGAACTTTCTACCATTCACATTATCAGTAGCAATGTGCTCAAGATATATGCAGAAAAATACTGTTTATGTGCCTATTGTCTTAAGGTCACAGGGCTTCCTTGGTGGAATGGGAAGAAAACTGGACTGAGAGTCAAGACACCTGATGGTTTTCACTTTCCAACTCTACCTCTGTGATTTTAGAAAAGTCACTTAAGCCTTCTGGTCCTGAGTTTGTGTGTGTATGTGTGTTTAATTTTTTTTTTTATGAAATAATTATAGATTCACAGTAATCTGTGAAAATATATGTATGGGGAAATTCCATGTATCCATCACTCAGTTTTCCCCAGTGGAAATCCAAGAGCTTATTCAAATTTTGCGAGTTTGAGATGCGTGTGTGTGTCTGTGTGTGTGTGTATGTGTGTGTGTGTGTGTGTTTCTTTGCAGTTTGAACATGTGTAGATGAATGGACCTACTACCATAATCAGAATATAGAACTGTTCCATCACACAAAAGAACTCTTGGGCGCCTGGGTGGCTCAGTCGGTTAAGCATCTGCCTTCAGCCCAGGTCATGATCCCAGGGTCCTGGGATCGAGCCCACATCGGGCTCCTTGCTCAGTGGGGAGTCTCCTTCTCCCTCTGCCCCTCCCCCTGCTTGTGCTCTCTCTTGCTATCTCTCAAATAAATAAAAAGTAAAAAAAAAAAAAAACAAAACCTCTTTAGTTACTTGGTATTCAGACCCAAACCTCTCCATCAATAGCCCTAACAACTACCAATATGTTCTCCATCTGTATAATTTTGGTTTTTTTTCAAGAATGTTATGTAAAGAAACCATATAGTAGGTAACCTTCTGGAAACAGACTTTTTTTTCACTCAGCATAATCCCCTTGAGATACATCCAAGTTGTTGTGTGAAGCTGTGTCCTATTTTTATTCCTAAGATTTTTTTTTAAATAAAGATTTTTATTTATTTATTGAGAGAGAGAGAGAATGGTAGAGAGAGCATGAGAGGGAAGAAGGTCAGAGGGAGAAGCAGACTCCCTGCTGAGCAGGGAGCCCGATGCGGGACTTGATCCTGGGACTCCAGGATCATGACCTGAGCTGAAGGCAGTCACTTAACCAACTGAGCCATCCAGGCACCCTATTGCTAAGATGTTAACAATGGGTTTTCTTGAGGTGCTTTTCCTCAAGTTAGGTTCCCTTCTTCCTAGTTTGCAGAGTTAAAAAAAAAATCATGAATATAGGTTTTGGGTTTTGTCAAATGCCTTTTCTGCATCAATTGATATGATCAGAGCCTGCTGATATGGTGGATCACACTGATTTTCAGATAATGGACCAGCCTTTCACATCTGGAATACATCTCCAGTCATGGTGTGAAAATCTTTTTATACATTGCTGGATTCAATTTACTAATAATTGCTTTTTGTTATTTTCCTCAATTATAAAATATAAGGCTAACATATTTTTAAAAATCTGTATCGTGTTAAAAATAGATAAGGAACAAGAAATAAATTTTTGTATTTAAGGCAGATATATTATCAACATTGGCCATAAATCAAAGTCATTCAGTACCATCAGATGCATATAGGAGATGCTACTGGAGTGGCTGGGGTGGGAGCAGGGATCACATCATTTCTGTGGGATCAGAAACACTTCCTTCACTGCCCCAAGTTTTTAGACTGTGGAAGAATTTAGAGGACGAAGGTTTGATTCAGAGATGATTTGAAGAGAAGGGCGCTGGCTTGGTTTTATATAAAGAGAAGAGGTAAAAAATAATATTTAACACTTAATGAGCTTTTATTCTGTGTCATTCAGTTTTGACATCCATGTATTAACTTATTTGATCAGCACAAAATTTTATGAGGCAGATAACTTATATCAACATAATACACATGGTGAAATAGATTCACAAATGAGCCCAGAATTACATAGTATGTGGTGGAACTATGAATCCAGAACTCAGGCTTTTTTCTTTTTTTTTTTTTAAGATTTTATTTGTGAGAGAGCGAGAGGGGCAGGCAGGCAGAAGAAAATGCAGGCTCCCCGCTGAGCAGGGAGCCTGATTTGGGACTCAATCCCAGGACCCTGGGATCATGACCCAAGCCGAAGGCAGGCACTTAACCGACTGAGCCCCCAGAACCCAGGCTTTTTAATACTACACTCTACTGCCTCCAGGGATCAAAGCATTGTGAAGAGTCAGGACAGGCAGGATTGGGTGTGGTTGAATGGGGAACTCATAGGGTTAGGTGGGGCTGTGGGCAGCATTCTGGTGTAAGCCTCACTTAGCATCTTTTAGGCAAGCACCAAGTATCTTCTCAACCATCTGTATCATATGGCTCCCTGTGTTATGGAAGGAGTGTGGTTACCAGGGAAGAAGAGAATCCAGTTAACAAAGTATGAAAGACCAAGATTGCTTTATCTTTGAAAACATCGGACACATTGTTAGCATTATATAAATATTGAAAGCTTGATTTGACCAAAAGGTTTATTGACTGATTGTGTCAGGCACTATTTGAAACACTTTATAGCTGCAATCTTAACAATGACGAGTAATTTCAGATAAAATAATTCTCGAAAACAACTAGAAACAGAATAAAAAGAGTGCTAGATAATGGAAATATACAGTTTAATTGTTTTCTAATATGGCAATATAAATCAATTAGCAACAAATGAAACCAATAATGTCATTCAAATTAGCAAAGAAAAAAAATTACCAAGGAATAAACAACACAAGGAATTAGAAGTACTTATATTAAGAAAAGTGTGAAGTTCTCCCTGCAGACATATAAATGTACAAATATGGAGGTCTTTTCATGTTCTAGCATGGGAAATGTTAATAAGGATGCCGATATTCCTGATATTATTTCATCATCAATGCTATTTCAATAAATCAAAATTGCAATAGAATTTTTAAGTGGAAATAATCTTTACAGAAAGAGCCTCCCTTGTGGGTATGTGCCTAGAGGAGGCCAAATGAACTCCCCTCTGGGAAAAGGGGGCACTCAGAAGTCACTAAGCTGGACCAAGGACACTTTTTCCTCCTATGGTTCTCCACGATTGTGAAGTCTTCAGGGAGCGGAGTTCATAGACCAGTTCAGCTAATTATGAGCTCTGCATCCACATCTCCAGGCCACAATTCCATAATCAGCCTGTGTTTCCAGCCTTCCAGGCTGCCACTCCCTGTCTAGTGGGCTTCATACCTGTGTCTCCTCCCAGAGTAGTAGCCTCCACCAGGAGGCCTGGCCTGAGTCTGTCTGTCTGCCATTCCTGGGGACAGAGCCTCAGCCATTGTTGCTCACCAGGCAGGAGAGGGGCAGCCCCCTTCCTCCTTGCTCATGTAAAGTCACAGTGCAGCCAGTGAGCGCCATGGGTGACAGCGGATGGAGGAGGGACTCGGGGAGCATTGTTTCCTTATTGTCAGGCAAGCAGGACATTTGGGTTAGACAGATGGTAGGGTACCAACATGCAAAGTTTTCCCTCCACGCACTGCGAAGTTTATGTTCTTGGTTCTAGTGAGAGTCTAAGAACCCTCATTCAGAGTTCTTTCCTCCCACACTGGTTCTAGCTCTATAATGGCAGGAAACCGGTCTCTGAACTATCACTGAGCACTCCAAAATCATGAAGTGATGAGGATGATGAAGACCTTATGCATGATATCATTAACTTTCATTGGCTTCCTACACGGCAGGCTCTGAGCTAAGTGTTCTGTGTAGCTTGTTTCATTTCATCTGCATAACCACCACCCTCTAAGGAAGAGGACTGCACATCATCGTCATTTTACAGATGAATAAGGGAGCACAGCATTTAAATATAACTTGTATGAAACCGTGAGGTAAAATGGGTGTGAATTCAGATTTGAATCCTCACATCCAGACTGCAGACACAGGTCATCTAGCCGTTATTCCCTCCTACCAACCCAGTCTGTCATTTCACCTGCCAGGTCACTTTGCAGGTTTCCAGTAAACCTCAACGGGGAGTAATGGGTACCACTTGCACCAGCTAGACTATGGTAATAGAACGTAGGAAGGCAGCT